TGATGGCAAAGGTAGGAGAAGTGAAAGTGGAACCACTCCTTGACTTCACCAAGTGTAGGATCCTCTTCTTGGAGACTTGAACCGAATAGATTGAGCTTGCTTGAATGAATAACACGAAGAAGGAAAGCCTAGGCTAGAGATGGAAGTATCCTAGCTTGAAGGCTCAAAGGATTGCTCACTTCAAAAGGTAGGAACTAAGGTAGTTTTCCTAGGGTTTGAAGGCAATGCTCTCGGTGACTCTTGAGGGAAATTTGGCTGAAGAATGCTCACAAATTTCATATATTCAAAAGTGAGTACAATGAAGGGAAGAACACCCAGAACAGCCCGTTCTCAAACCAGAACGGTCCGTTCTAGTTGCATTTATTACTCACAACTGCCATAGCCCGTTCCAGGCCCGTTCCAAGCCCGTTCCCACTTAAAGTTAAAGGCAATTTTTAATAGTCCAGAACGGCCCGTTCCAACTTGAGAACGGCCCGTTCTGGGCAACGAATTCGCATAAATTTTGGTAATTTGGAACGGCCCGTTCTAATTCTGGAACAGCCCGTTCCAAGCTACTAAATCACCCCTATACATTTATAAAATTTACCAAAATACCCTCAATTTAATAAAATAAAAAATGAAATAAAACTGGAGTGTTACATGAAGTAATAATCAATTGTCTATTAAAAAATTAAAAAACATATTAATTTTACTTTTATTTATTTAAACTTTATAATTTTAGAAGAATAAATACAATTTCATTTGCATCAATAATTTGTTGAAATGGAAAAGGCTAAACTGGACTTTTTCCCTCTTAAAAAATTCATTATGTAATTTTGATAATCTATTTTTAATTTTATAATTTTAATTTCCTAATTTTATAAAATCTGCAATTTTGATTTTTCCATTTAGTGTTCATTCGCTTAATGTTAAAAGTTATTACATAAATCATAATCTATAAATGACATGATAAATAATATTTAATAATATATAGACTAAATTTTATTAATTATTTTTATTTTTATCTCAAATAAGTGATAAAATAAGATAAAAATAAAAATTATAAGTATAAATTAACCTAAATATTACTAAATATTATATCATGATCAAAATTACAATTTTAACAACTAATAATTAAATATTTAATGACTAAAATTATAAAATTAAAAAATAAAGAAATCAAAATTCTAGATTTAATATATGAAAAGTATAATTTAGTTAATAAAATAATAATCTTAAAAGAAAAAAAAAAAGTGGACGTGAGTGGAGCAGTCACCGAGCCCAGCTCCAAGTTTCACCGCAAGAAAAATCATTACACAATGCATGATCATTGAATTACGTAACGCATACGCAAGCATGAAAACGTACCACACACCTTCAATTTTGCCACTGTTCTAAAAACAATTCTATTTCTGCCCATATTTAATAACCACTGCAAAATTGAGTGAGAATTCCAAAGAAATTAAGAGAAGACTCTTTTTATTCTTTTTTTTTTTTACCCCCATTTTTTCACTGCTTCTTTCACTAGCAAACTTTGCAATGGATGAAAAACATGTTTTTCCTTCTTCTTGTCTCTCTTTTCTTCCTTATCCATGAAAAGCACCCTCCTTGCCTGCAAACTTGCTCTTCTTTCTTCATGCATTCACCATTCACTTCTCTTGCTTTTTCTTTTCTTGTGTCCCATCTTTCTTTTTCCTTCACTTCCACCTGCACATGCATTTCCACACATCAATCTCATGTTTGCATGCTATCTTCTACTTCTTAATTCCATCAATCATTTCTCATCAATGTCACTCTATTGGCTAGCCAACTTTTTCCAATTACACCATCTTCCCCTTATTCATTTATTATAATAATAATAATAATAATAATAATAATAATAATAATAGGATTTGAATCGAATTAATATTAAAGGTTTTGTACATTTTACCTTAATCGGAGTTTGAATAAAGTTATTATGAGTATCAAGTTCTATTCTCAATGTTTGAGTATTTAATGCACTTGGATATAAGACCTAAAATTGAAACTAGTGGTAAATTAGCTAAGCAACCCATTAAACATCTTTCTCTAATTTTTAAACAACTTAAAATCTCATGTTATATATCAAAATAATATTTTATTATTAAATATAATATATTTATTTATTTATTATTAACTATAATTTATTTTATTATTAAAATAATAAAGTTTTAAATATAATTTATCTATTTATTATCACTCAAAATTACTATAATTATAACAAAATTTAAATGTAATATTATGCACTAATAGATTGATCATGCTGACTAAATGCAATTTACTCGTAGTTTATGTCTGGTAGAAAGAAAAAAAATAGGTGAAAAATAAAGTGAAAAAAATAGATAAAAAATAAAATAAAAATTTAGTTATTTAATTAAAGAGAAATATATAAAAAATAATATATATATATATATAAAAGAGATGAAAGATAAATAAATAAATAAAAAGATGGGATCCTTCCTTTTCACTTTCTTTCTTTTCAACTAAACAATCTCACTTATTTTTATTTTCTTAATTTTACACTCACTATCCTATTTTTTATCCATTTTTATGTGTCTAAAATGATTTTAGATTGTGCCTAGTATATAGGAACGGGGTCACTAGAAAACGTAACTTCCTGCAAACCACACGTGTGGCCCTACGTGCGTAAGATTTGGGAAATCACTCAAATGTACACACTGAAGGACAGTTTGGGAACCTTCTCCTTAATTTAACTCAATTGGCACAAGTTAAATGTCCATTTGGTTTTAAAAAAATGATTTTGTAATCACTAGAAAATTTATGATTAGATTAATTTAAGCCTACATTTCAAATGCATTAATAATTTAAAATCAATTTTATCGATATTTATTTAGTTAAAGGTAGAAAACTACGGTGAGTATCAAGTTATGGTGAGTTTACCATCAAAATAATTATTTATTATTTCCAAATATCATAATCTAAACAAGATTTTAGATTTAAACTTTAAGTTAAAATATTTCTTTTTTCTATAATTTCTTCTACTTTACCTTTTAATCTTTATAATTTAAAATAATTATTTTAATTTATATAATTATTTCTTTCAATTTTTGTCACATCAAGATAACAGAAACATTGTTATAAAACTGAAAAAATGAGAAATCTAGGGACTAGCAAGATAAAAGATTGAAAATAATAAATATAAAAACTCAAAAGAATTATTTTAAATTATAAAGAATAAAATGTAAAAAAGTTAAAAAAAGTATTTTAACATTAACTTTATTATCTTTATTGTAACGTAAAAGGGAAAACTATCAATTTTTCAGTGTCACGTTTTGGTCTACCTAACAAGTAACAAGTTACACCCACGTGTATCCATTTTCAATGCAATAAAAAGAGGGTAAAATGTATTCGCAGAAAAAGGTAAAATAAATAAATAGATAAATAAAAAGTACATGTCAGTTACCATTTGTCCATTTCCCATGTCAAACTCAAATAGTCAAATTTCCTTAATTAGCCTTTGCATGAATACTAGAAAGAGAAAAGGTATGAAAGAAAATATAAACAACTCTTTTTTAATTTTTATTATTTTTAATAAATTTTAAACAAATAACAAAGTGGGTTAGAAAAAGAGTGTATTATTAGCATTGAGAAGGCATTGTTTTCATTAATTATCAATGACAAAATGATTTACCTAGATTCCAAAATCTCTAGAGACTTCATATGAAACATGGAAGAAAACAATTACACTGAAAGAAAATAGCACAAGTATCTTAAATCATTCAAGAAGGAAAAACGGGTGGATTGAATGGTTAATTTTGAAAGGGCTTATCATGTGAAGAAAGTTTTATGATCACTTGAAAAACTTGCTTCCCCAAAAAAACAGACAAGTGCAAGTGTACGTGTAGACAGCAGACAACTTGGGGTGAGCATGAAGGGACCAAAACTAGAGTGGCATGTGCTCATGAAACAGAGATAGGGACCAATATATCTAGTACTGCCCACACATTTCACATTGGAAGGTTGTAATCTATTATATGACAACTAGATTTGATTCTCTTATCTTGGAAAACACACTCTTGGCCTAGGTTTCTTCTTCTTTTTTTTTTCTTCATGAATTTTCTTAATAGATTACTCACATCTTTTACGGAAAAATTATTCGAATTAGATAAGACTATTATGAATAATAATTTTTTTTTTTGAGTATTTAACATAATTATAGATCCAATATTTGAATTTGAAATTATTGATTAAACTGAGACAATCTCTTATTAATTGATCCATGTATCTTGTATTTGAAATCATTGATTAAACTAGAACAATTTATTATCGATTGATCTATCTATTTATAAATTTTTTTTTATTCATTTTGCATTTTAACTTTTGAGAGATGATACAATAGAGCTGACTTTTTGTGTATGGTTTTAGTACTTTGTCAGGTAGTGATAAAAATGATATATACTCAACCTTTAATCAATGTCGCAATAATTTTTTTAGGACATGCTATTGTTCTTTCTAGCATCGAGATGCTTGAGTTCCTATCACAAGATGCATTTTTCCCCATGCTTTCTTGATTTTATCCAGCATTATAGTAGGGTCTTCTGAAAGTAAGCAACTCAACTTTACAGGATAAAGGAAATCATTTTAGTCATTTTGATAAAAAAGAATTAATTTATTAATATTACATGTACCTATATAATAACAAAATTTTAAATTTTTATACTTACCATCTGATCATATTTTAACAAATTAAATCACTAAATTATCAAATTTACAGTGAAGGTACAACAAAAAGAATTACAGAGAAGGTTTTATTCAAAAGTAAGCACGATATCTTCATAGGAAAAGGGATGATTAAGTATAACAAACAGGGCATAAAAGTAAAGCATCACCATATTTTTAAAAATAGCACATTTTTAATGTTACTATTTTTATCTTCATTTAATGCTAGTCATTAAAAGGGGAATATTAATGGCTTTGACACTTTAAGGACCAAAGAAAAATGGATCTGAAGCTAAAATATTAAGATCATAACTGGAATATATTAGATTATTCTGATTCTGACCAAGTCATGAAAAATAAAGTGGAAGAAAAATGTAGCACATACCTTATCCTCAGTTATAGTTTTGGTATTGGAATTTAGAGGTTCTTCAGATAGATTTATTGGTCTCTTTATGATGGATGGAGTTAAATCAGTGCTGGGGTTGCTTGAACTAAGATAAGGAGGTGGTGTACTTTGAGTACCTGCATCTCTTGTCATTCCCTCTTTTCCTTTTTCTGTATAGAATCAGCATGTTTTGTTAAGTTCCTTACAACTATGTCATAAAGTTAAAGCAAGCATATAACTATCTTAATCATTATAGTTTCATACATTTTATTTTTTAATTTCTATTTATATTATTTTAGTTATTTTTTAGTTTTAATCATTTATTTCTATATAGACTAAAAAAATAAAGTTTATAAAATTATATAAACTAAAAGAAAACAAAATCAATATATATATAAATTAAAATAAAATATTTTTAATTATAAAAACTTAAAGGTAAAATTTATGAAATATAATGATAATTAAACTATTAAAGTATGTGAACCTGGAATGTGAAAATGAAGAGCTAATTCTTCTTGTGTGAAACTATTGCAAGTTGATGTCTTTGTTTGCATTTGTCTTGAAGAATAGACTAGAGGGGCAGACATGGTGATTTTGTTTGTTGTTGAGTTTCTAAATGATCTTCCACTAAGAGTTTTGGCAGATAAACACTCCATTGGTACCTCTCCTGAGAAGGGGTTGCATATGTATTTTTCAGCTTCATTCCACTTGGAATTCAAGGCAAACCCTTCTGGAGATAGGCACTCCCAACTTTTATAGCCTGACCTTGCTTGCAATGCTGCAGTGGACCACCATGCAATTGGTTGAAAAAAATTCAGCTAATATTTATAAACCCTCTATACTAATTATTCATTCTCTGGTACCTTTAAGAGCAGTGGTGAAAGAATAGGTTGAAGGGTCTATTTCATCTGTCACAAAATTGGGAGAGATTGAGAGAAACCAAAGGTTGGAAAAAGAAAATTTTCATCAACTCATTGAATTGGAGAGAACAAAGAAATGCACCTTTTAAAGGGTATCCAGGAGAAGAAGCAGTGCTGGAAATGGTTATGTTTGATCTAAAAGACCTTGTGTCTTCTCTGAAGCTTCTTATATATGATGCTGAGTACCTTCTTGACTTGCTGTTCTCTCTACTGATTCTAGCTTTCACTGACCATTCTGTCAAGTTGAAATCTGAATCATCTTGTTTCCTGGAACTATAAGATGGTTGCATTTCCACAGTGGAGGCCATGAATGAGTTAGAATGGTTTTTAAGTTCTCAAGGTGTGTAGTGTACTAAAATTTGCACTGGCTTAAAGGTGGATGCAGCTATATGACATGTCCATAAAAGAACTTGAGAATTCAGAAGGTGAAGCTTTTTGTGTAGGTGGCATGTAGCTTTTGTACTTAATTTGTTGTGGCACAATTTGCTCTTTTACCTTTTGAATTTCCGTCAACAAATTGTTGATCAGTATGATACTATATTCAATCTTTTAAAATAAAGTTTGTTCGAATTTTGTGGATAGAAAAAAATGTTATTGATAAAGAAAACCTTATTATAAATGACCCGTCAAGTTTTTCAACAAACATTAATTAAAGTTAAATTTAGTGAATATTTTGTATCAATAATATAGTTAAAAAAATCTTTTGAATCTCTCGGATACAACTATCGTTCAAATATCTTTCTGTGTTACAACCCTATCTTTACTTTTATCATTTTTTATCTCTGCATTAAAGTCATAGTACTGCACCAGTAACTTTAGCATTCTTTGACATAACTTGTGCCGGGTAAGGTTGTTTTAATCTTATATAGTTTATCAATGGATACAAAAAAAAAAAACAATTGGATTTTATACGGTTCTCTGTTGAGGAAAGACAAAGTATAAATTTGTCTACATTTTCCCACTTAGTTCCATTAATTAGGATACTGTAGTAGTTGGTACTACAATCTATGGGCCACACAAAATTCCATCAATTTAGACAATTTTAAAAGAAGAGTTTTATCCTTTCTTATAACACTCCTACACGTACCTAATATAATTTTACTAACAAAAAAATAGATATACTTGAATTTATCAACTTAGCTTTAGAATATACCTTAAAAATCATTTGTTAAAGATGTCAATGATTGATTGAAATCTTTATGCATGAAAAATGGGAAGAAAAACTAAAGAAAACAAAAATATGATAACATTTTTTTTAATAAAAATCTCACATGACTTGTATATTTTGATCTTGATCATTTATTATATATGGTCATATTTATTTCTTTTACTCAAAGATAGAATATATGCTTTAATTTGATATATTTTAATCTTACACTCTTTTTTATATGGATATTTCAAACTTACTGAACTACAGCATATAATTGATCAGTTACATCATAAATTGCCAAAACAATAAACGTGGCCACTTTTTGATTATGAATTTGCGGCAATCAGATAGAGAAAGGTTGACATTTGTGGGTTACCCTTCTTGTTGTTTTGCACTTAAAAAGGCCAACACAGGCCGTAATGTGTATCACTTATTCAAATGGATGCTATACCAGCTCACAAAATCATTAACTTCTGTTTGAAAAGACACAAACTCTTTATACCCAATTCAGGAAACTTCTCCTTTAGCTACTATATTAGATGTTTGATGATTATCAATGATAAACTTACATCAGAAAGCTCAAGAAGCTTCCGGGAAGCTTTAAAATAGATAGTAAACATAAATGACATGGCTTACATCTTTCTTGGTAATTTGAACACTAAAGATTAAGCGCTCTTTTTTATTTTATTTTTTATTTTTTATATTTATAAATAATACTATAACTTTTATTTTTTTATTTTTATTTTTATTTTTTACATTTACATTATTAAATCATTGGAGAATTACATTTTTTTGAGATAAGATTTTGGGAATTTTCTTTATTTAATAATGTTTTGTAATATACATATTTAACAAATTGACGAAATCATTGTGTGTTTGAATATGGGTTAATATAAATGATTTTGAATTAACATGATTTTATAAAATTAATTGAGTAAACATGAGATAAAAGTAACGTGATTTTCGATTGGATGACAAGAGATATGAACTTGATTTTTATATTGAATATTGTTTGAAAACTTATTATTAAAATTGATTTTGAATGAGAATTATAAATTTGGACAGATAAAATCTCAAAATTGATTAACTACTACTAGTTGCTTCCAAGTGAATGCAAAATTTGAAATGTTGAAATCAATTTTGCTAATCGTAAAATATGTAATAAACATAATTCAGACCATTTTGCATGCAATGAAATTGATTTTATACATGTCTGACGTGAAACCAAACATATCCTATATTGAGATATTATCTGGGTGATTATACATATAAAACTAACTTTAGATTTTTTTTAAACGTAAATTGTAGATAAATCGAACTACTATAAATATGTAATTTTATAGACCTTATTCACATCATGACCCATTAAAAATATGGTAAATGCATTCTTACCTGTCACTTCAAAGATAAACTCATTTTACAAGAATCTTCTATTTAAAGTCACATGAAATTTATACACTTGGTTTATATAATAAGAAATTTTAACTCAGCAGTTATATTGATGAAATGAAACATGAAAAAGTTAATAAATGATACAAGTATGTCACAAAAATAAATTTCATCCGTTATTAAGTTGACCTAATTTTCTTTTAAAAGAAGTTTAAAAAATTAAATTGTCTCCTTTACCATATCAAAATTGAGCTACTTTCTCTTACTGTAACCTAGGAAAAGCCCAATGGGGGTGAATCCCTATGCATTATTACTGTTTTTCAAGTTGGGATTTGGGAACGCGATGGCATAGCATCGGTAAGCACTGTTGGGTTGCTTTCAGTATGGGCTGTTAAGTGATTGTCAAGGTGGATGTCCACTACTTGTCAGCAGAGTGGAGAGGGGTGAGATTGGACTGATAACGCCTTTGTGGTTGTTCATGTGCAAGCCACATGCTTCTTGTAATCCTCCAAAAAATGAATGAGGCAAGGGTCCTCATAATGGAAGTAGAAGGGTCCCAGACGGACCTCTTCATAGTCATCAGATTTGTCTCATGTGTATGCCAAGTAGGTATCAAGAACGAAAGGTTCTGTTAGTCGGGGTCCATACAGTCCATTAATTTTATGAAGTTTTTCTGCTTTTCTAGGATATGATTCACCCCTATTTCAGTGAATCGTCTTATCTTCTCACTTACACAAACACCTGTGCGGCAAGATTTTGGTTGATAGCCATGATCAATTATTAGGCACCACTTTGGGAATAACATCAGCAGCAGCATGATTAATGCTTAGATAAATGGTATATCATTGCTTTAGTATACTCTAAAAGCATTCGCATTATAACTAGGGTATTGACTGTTAAAGAAGCAATATATAATTCCACCCTAAATCCTTGTTAAAGGTTAGAAGTCCCCCTAACCTTGCATGCGGACAATCCTTCCCTTAAACTAAACTTTTTGTACCCAAACAGTGATATGAAAACTGGAAACAGGAAATAGCAGTGTAATGGTCAATTTCACTTCTCAACTCATCTCCAGTTTAATGGACAATCCATTAGTCCTTTTCTTTCACTACATTTTTCCTATTTTCTTACGACTTCTCTCTTTTCATCAGACAGAATTCAGAGGCATCAAACTCGAACATAAATTCATCATAATTAATAGGTAAAGCATTAAAGGCATCGAGATTGTTAAGTCAAGACACCAAAACATAATAGACTAAAGGTTGCATCAATAACTAGATAAGCCTCTAACTCCACAACCTAACTTCCACAAAAATAACAAACCATAGATATAGCTAGAATGAGAAAATTGCAATCAAATAAACACTATTCCAACAAGCGGAGCAATCCAACTGCCAAGATCATGTCTTTTATATCGAACCTTGATCAGTTCTCTGGCAGAAAACCGTGATTTCAGCCAACCTCCAGAAGATGAGAATCAAGCAACTTGGATTAATAGCCAACATCTTTGTTGGAGGTATGTACTCCAGCAGTTGACCGACAGGTTTGCAGGACAGGTGAATTTAAGCTGTTGAAATTCACAGCTCCATAATTATAGAACCCCACGGATATTACCAGTCTAATGATCCTGTCAATCTAAAACAAGAACCAAAAAAGGTATTGGTTCGTATTCATTTTATTTAGAGGAAAACAGATACTTTCCATAACCTAGAGTTGTAAAATCAGCCAATTTTATCTTCAAATAAAAAGAACCATAAATATTCAACACAACTGATCCAGTCAAAAACTAACAAAACAATAGGCGAGATAAAATAATTATCAGTAATATGCTTCAGTCATGATCATATATTATCCCTAATAGCCAAATATATGAACCTAAAGTTTAAAAACAGGTATGACCCCACTAGGGTTGCATCACAATTAGCATACCTTTCACAATCTCCAGTATCTTAGGAATGCACTACACGGAGAGGGCAACCAGAGTACCTGATTCAGAATTATGGATAGATATGCCAGCCATGTTATTCAAATAATTTATAATGGGAGGGGGAATTCAAGAGAAGGAAAATATTAGTTCATGTTCTGCAACATCTCACTGTTTGGGCAAGAATGAATTTGTTATAACTGAAAGTATACGTACCATGAAAGATAGAATTGATCGAAGAACCACGCAAGTACACAAGTACACTTTAGAACGTCAAGGGGGACAGGAACAATGGTTTCCTGAAAACAAAGCTAATGTCAATACTTCATAGCATGTGAAAACAGGTCACTAAGAATGAGGCACATGCTTACCATTGAAAAAGATAAAAAAAGCAAAGCAGCTTCAGGAGATAGCATATGCATATAAGCTTCCTGTTGAGCAGGGAAGATTTTACACGGTGAATAAGCGAAATATAAGATATATCAAGCTAAGAACTGCCTAAGAGAAGTAACAAAAAGTAGTTTAGATCATATGTAATAATTTATAGAATGGAAATAGAGGCTGAACTAAAAGGGTGCAGCTTCCACCATTATGGGATCCTGCTGTCTTGGGAAGGGTTAGGTGTAAGCAACCTTAGGCCCATGGAAACAATGTAGGAAAGAAACAAAACAGCCTATAGCAATTATGAAACTCTAAATATGACACACATGTCCCAAATAAAAAAATTTAAATTGCTAATATCACAATTCACAACAGATGCATAATGAGAATTTGGCAAAATCTTAACTGCAAAATGCCACAAGAACACTTATTTTCTCTTTCCTTTTATTATGGTTTGTCAAAGAATTTAATCAAAAGTTGTGATGAAAACAAAAGTAAATATTACCTTGTCCAAGAATCAGAATGGAATTTGCAGCTAGAGAAATGATATCTTGGATCTTCTCACTGGAGAAAAGAACACGATTAACTGAAACAGATAGCAGACATTACTTAGATTGTGCAGAAAAAGTGAAGTGAAGAGAAACATAAGGCACTCAAGGATCCTTAATTTGTGTTAAAGAAACATAGGATAAATGTCATTTTGTAAACAGCTTATCCAATAATGGGAGAAAAATTAAATGAAAATTGAAAATATAGTCAATGGTTTCCAAGTTACATGAGCTTGAATATCTATAGTGTTCTGATTTCCATGTTAATGAGCTGAGATGAAATTTCCACTAAGCTTTATTTACATCAATATTATCATTTTCTCTCTTTTCCACAGCTGCCATCTCAAATCTAGGCTTCACTGGTCTCCTTCCAGATCTGGCCCCACTTAACCAACTAGTCACCAAAATATATCCATCCAACCTTTCTCATTGGGATGCTGCTCCTATTCCTTTTGCTTGTTTTGCTGCACCATCTCTGGTTAGGCCTGGTCTCCATTCCTTTTGTTTTCCACCTTCCTTTGAATGTTTGCTCCCTTAGGCTATTTTCTAATCATATTTGATGTTCTCTCCCTCTCTCTCTCAAGGTTTGGCATGTTTCTTAGAATTCTTTCAGGAGGTTAACTTTGGTTTGTCATTGTTTAGGTTACTGTTATGCTCTTTTACAGTACCAGCATGGCATTGACAGGGAGAGTGAATGAGAATGATAAAGCTACATATTTTCTTGCTGATAATCAGTCTAGTAATCTACAAGTGATCATACTAGTGCTGACTTTTCTACCAGTACCATGTCCATAATAATTCTGATGGTGATTTATAATGGCTGAAGTGGCTTGTGCCAAGCTATGACTCATCAACCCTGTTTCCAGTCCCAGATGCAGTCTAGCTCCATCTCCCCTGACATGTTTGCTTGGCACTGCATTATTTTTTTGGTTTATTTTCTTATAGTATGTTTAATTGTAACAAGCTTTAACTTAAGGGAGCTTTAGAATACCTACAAAATATCATAATACCATTATTACATGTTTAAATTTTTCATAGTATCTTAGATGATCTCTCAGGAGTTGCTTTCATGTTTCATTACATCTCATGGTTTATTTCCTTGTTTAATTAGGATTAGGGTCTAGTATCATAATACCTTTATTATTTTTATAACTATCAATATCACTTGAGATTTAAGAACTTAGGATGTGAGATCATTGCTGTGTTTGTGTATTAGGTAAACTCTCATGAGTTTAAGAGCCGTGTATAAGTTGAGTTTATGGACTCTATGAATTTACACAAATTCTTGAGTTTGACAACCTTGAAAATGTGTTAATAACTTGAGATGTTCATTTTGTTAAGCATGAATATGAGATAAATTATATGCTTAAAAATGTTGTATAAATTAATTTTAGTTTGGTTTGTCGAAAATTTTAGTTCAAGTGTGCTACTAGATGAAATTTTAGCAACGTACAGATTTATGGGTCAACAAATAATTCAATCAGGTAATGGTATTAGTTTGTGAACCTGGGATATGCATCAACTTATCATTGCAGTCATTGGCTTCATTTAAAGCATTTTCTATGTCCATTGCAGTGAACATGTGCACAGAATGGCATCCATCTGATATCCAGATAGTCTGAGACACTGCAAAATAGTAACTAATTTTAGCTGCAGGGAGAACAAAAAACAAGGGAATAGATTTTTTCTTTTAAAAAATTAAATCTAGAACTAATTGAACAACCATAACTTTAACAATCTTTGTTATCCAAGTGATATTGACATTCTGAATCTTAAATTTTGAAGCAACCAGGTGTGTCTATTATATTCTTCACTCTTTTGTCATTGTTATCTGAACCAAGGGTGAGGTCATGCATGCAGCATGTAGACTAGAAGCCAGGGCAACCTTTCCAGCCAATAAATGAACCTTCAAACTCCTTCTGTTTTTAGGAGGAATTGTAAAATCCCATGGTAGACACATCAGTTGTTACAGATACATCTCCCAAACATGAATTTAACATAAGAACGTCATAGCAATATCTAGCTCATCTTATACCAATAATCTTCCACAACAAAAACTCTAAAACATCTCATAAGAACGGTAGGTTTGAGTGAACAAGAAAACAAGTGCCCAGTTCATACCGGTCAAATTGAACATCATTGTGAAAATCATGGTATTTTAGGAATATATAAATGAGAATAAAACACAAAATTGATATTAACTTAAACATATTACAATGTGATGGGATGTTTATGAAACCTAAGGCACTAACCCTTATTTATACTAATCATGATTCTAACTAAATGAGGAAACAAATCAAAAGAAATAATGGGAAATAGAGATATTAATCCTAAAGGATAGTCTAATACATGAAGCTTATTTAGATACAATCTAGAAAAGACTTTTGAGAGCTTCTCTATTGAAAATAAAGAGTATTTTCTAATAGAGAAGCTCTTAAAAGCCCTTCTAGGATTGTATCCAAACATGTTCATGAAAAGATATAATATGCTAATTTCATATATTCTAAAAAGGGTAATACATCAAAATTATTAACCATTTCTTTACACTAATTGTCAAGTAATAAGTCACTCAAGTTTATCTCATTAATTTTTTTTAATAACATATTAAGTTTGAATGCAAAAATAAACTTCAAATTGATTTCAAAATTGGAGCAGATTTGTTCACTTTAATACCCTGACAAAGATATTAGCCAAAGAATGAAGGCATATTATTCTCATAATTTGATTATTCTTCGAGAGTACACAATAGATTTTTTTTCCTTTCAATTTTTTATAAAACAACTTGTTTTATAAACCCTAAACCCTAAGCTAATTCATGATCCAAATAAAGGAATATTCAAATCCTCTTTTACTAAATCAGTATCAAGCAACCCGTTTCCATCATCATATTTGAAAAGGTGGCATACTTGTGCTTCAGGCAATCTCAACCACAACAGTTATAGATTTATAGGGTCCCCCCCAACTACAATGTCAGATTTATGTTAAGCATCTCTTCAATCCTAAGTTCTATAAACATAGGCAATTAGGCATAAAAAATGTGACTTCTACATTTGGTTTTGTATTCAAACTTATTGCATATAGAAACTAGTATTTCAACAGGATTAGATAAATCATATGATACCTTCTTGCTTCTATTCTCTACCCAATTCAAAAAGTTTATAAATACAATGTAAATCTTCCCAATCAAACAATGACTATATCTAGTGTAACAAATCGAAACATATAGAGAAAGCAAGAGATACTAAGTATATATCACTTCAATTTGCAAAAGCAAGCCTCCCAATGTAACAGATCTTCCAATCTGATAAAAAGAAAAGAGAACTAAATTTTCAGTCTTCCCCATTCCCCAGTGCCTTTGTCTTTTCTTTATAGATGAAACAAATTGATTGGGAAACATTTGGTCTCTTGGATGCACACTGGTGCCATATTTATAGTGCAATTATAATCAATTAACAATGAACAAGTTAATTAGAAGCTATCAGCAAAGACATGATTATCATCAACATCACATCCAATGGAAGGACTTTAACAGAATATTTCAACCCCAGCAAAATCATTCCATAATTAGCAGTTTTTTCTAACATCAACATAAAATATTTCATTCAGAAAGAATCCTCAAATTGAATTTTGAGTATACACAAACACACAAGACATAGAAAGTGACACTTACTAGTAGATAGATCAGGAAGAACAGCAAGACTCTGAACTTTCATAATACGATGCAGTTGCTTAACATTACTGGTGATATCTACTCCTATGCCAGAGTTTGACAGGCATAGCAAATGTAAATCACCACGAGAATCCAATATCAGAAACATCCTCTGGGACACAGCCTGAATGGAAATAGCCTTTATAGACATGGATACCTTAGTTGTGGATTTTGTTTTAACCTCATTTCCCTTCAACGCCACAAAACATGAACCTCCATCTCTGTCATCGTGTTTAAATTTAACATTTGTCTGCTTCACTAAAAGTAGAAAAACATGATTATGCAATATACTGAGGAATATTAGAACTGGTTAACAATTACATATAGAATCAAGTAATCAGAGCATGAAATCCCTACAGATCTACCCTGTAGGAAATCATAGATAGACAATGAAAGTAGATTGCCAGTATGCTAGTTAGGGATTCCATTTATATCACAAGATATTCAAAATACAGCTTGCTGTTAAAGATTGTTCTTAATATTTAGTTATTTACCATTAAAACATCTTCAGATTAAACAAAGGTCAGGACAATGAATTGCATCCATATCCTGGTCATTGAGAAAGATCTAAAAATTGTTAGCAGAAATTAAATATAAAAACACAATTTTTCATATTTTTCCAGGGTAGGATCTTTGGCTACAGCCACTGTGACTTGTGAATAGGCAAAAAAATAACACCATGCTGTAATTCACATAGGCCAGCTGTGTCAATCATTATAGTGCATTAATTACTGGTAGAGATGATAAAAGAACAGAGAATAGAGATCAATGCCCTTTAGATCTTACGGTTGGTATTTGTTAAGTTCTAAAACTGCAACAGAGTCCGGTAAATTACTCATCAATTTATGCCTAACATAAATGGTTTAAATAATCTCAAGCTGGTCAAAGAGAAATTGTCCAGTGAATATGAAGGAACTATCACCAATTAATGAATTAAAAAATGCGTAACCACTGGAAGCCCCTTTTAAGTTTGAACATACTAAACTTGTACAACATATACAACGGAGGCAGGACCATTGACAAAGATACTTCTAGCAGAAGAAATTTCCCAAGTAGAACTGTTTTGGGTTTGAATAGTACATAAAATGTTTTTACTCTGTTGTTTGACAAGGTAGTTAGAGAAGAGTGTAATTTTTTATAAAGTTTTTTATTTCCAGTCAATTGTCAGCAATATATATATAGGAAATAAATTCCATTTTACAAAGGACTAATAGTTAATTCATAGAGGAGAGTATAATGATAGACTTCTTTGGAATCAGCAGCTTCCATATTTTTTGAGGGATAAAGTAGTCTTCTTAGGCCCCTAGTGGTGGTTGGGTACTGTTTATGAGAGGTATCTTTGTTGGACAGTAACACTGATAAGGACAATTACATTGGACCACAAGGTCCGTGAATAGGGCAGAGGAAGACAGAAACACAGAAAGGACAGATCAGGCCTGTCAAGTGTGAACAGAGGCTAGCAGAGAAATGTTATAACAAGGGCCACAAACCGATGTGCTGACTTTTGGCTGGAAAATGGCCATCCTAGGCTGGATAAAGCATGACCAGCTGAAAAAGTGACAGAAAACATGTGGGTTGAATATTGAGGGATGTGGGAAACTAGGTTTCATAGAAGCTAAGTAGTTTCCTATTCTAATCCTCAAATGGTTCAAGAGAAGATATGTCAACTTGTCAAGTCATAAAATCAACTCTAAAAATAGCTAACTGATAAAAAGAGAAAAAGGAGGGGCCAGAATCCAATTGTCACATAGCACTACCCTCAGCAATTTGGCAGCAACTTTGGCTGCTATCCACACACCACTATGAGTTCCCTGTAGCAGCCAGCAAGCACAACATTCTTGCACAGCATGATAGGGGTGATATGCCACAATTGGCTACTCTTGTCAACACACAGTACGCCATTTGTTGTTTTAAAATTAAACTAATTAAGCTCAATGGATCAGAGGATTGGAAACTGTATCAAACTCGGATGTTTACAGATCCAGGTAAAGATGCTCACTATATAGGACATTGAATACCACAAGTAGTTGATATACAATAAATAGACAAACAAGATAAAATGTGAAAATGAGATTTTGCTCATTCCTTGAGGGTTAAGACACGGATAATGATGAATGAATTTCCCTCGCACTAGTAGTCTGTAGTGAAGCACTACAATTTATATTTATGTATGAACTACTCCCCCCCCCCAACCCAAATAATAGATAGATAGGGCATGGGTGCACATCTACTAGCCCAAAAAAAAGTCTCTTTCACCTATTCATCACAAATATTAGATGGTACTACTTTAAGTGGCCATGAATAATACTGAATTATAATGCCAAACACAACCCCGTATTTATTGAGACTAAAATGTAAGTATACCTACCAACTAAAACAGAGTCATGACAAAAATAATGGCACGTTGAGGCTGTTATTAAAAATTATGTAGAACACAAGAATAGACACGAAACAAGATTACAACTAGGGTCTCAATCAGTACTCACAAAGATGACAAGTTGAAAAGCAAAAAATAAAACAGTATATATGGAGAAAAGAAAGATACAAAACATGTAACTCTACAAAAAGAAATTCAAGAAGACACAAATTAGTCTTACTCAGCACTTTTGCCTTACAAAATCCCAGAGAACTTCATGTTACTAACTTCATGGATCATCAGTACAAACAGTTTTATACTGTCAAACTAATCAGAAATCACCGGAGACATGACTTTTAAAGTAACAATCACGAAAGTCGTTATTGTTTCCAAACGTGACAATCCTTCATAAGTCATCTCAGATACGACTTTTAAAGTAGTTATTGTAAAAGACATGAGCCTTACCACATGACAATCAATGATAAGACGACACTTACACTACAACTACATATACATTCTAACTAAATTCAAAACCAAAACACACCAACAATACACTACTCTACAACAAAGTTAACACATTCAAGTGCTTACCAGCAACACCATGCCTTTCCATCTTCCCTTCCAAATCACCATTGCAGTTCACCACCTCCAAACCCCCTCCTCGATTCCTCAGCTGCTTCCTCTTCCCGCCCCTCCCCTTCACGAGCCTCCTCAGCCCAAAAACCCTAACCCCATTCTCCTCCCCGAGAATCAAGAACCCCAACGCAACACTCATCGAAAAAACCGGCCGCGCGCACTCAATCACCGCGCACCTCATCAATCTCACACCACCGCCGTCGTCTTCATCGCCGCCGTCGTCATCTTTCACCGCGAAAACCCATACCCTGTTGCTGGAGAGGGCGTAGAGCGCGAAGTAATTGACGGAGCCGGCGAGCCTGACGGCGGCGCCGTGCTTGGCGTCGAGGAGGACGCCGAGGCTGGGCTCGAAGCGGAGGTCCTTATGGCAGCAGAGGACGCCCGTCACGCGGGCGAAGGAGGGGGGGTCGCGGCGGAGACGGTAGAGGCGGAGGAGGATGCGGGAGCGGTGGGGGGAGGATACAATGAAGAGGACGGCGGCGGCGGCGGAGGAGGAGGAGGAGGATGGTTGTTGGAGGAGGAGGAAGGTGGAGGAGGAGGAGGGGGAGGGGATTAGGGTTTGGGGGTGAGGGAGGGAGTGTGAGTGAGGAGAGAAGGAATTGTAGAGAGAGATAGAAGAGTCAGAGTGGGTTAGGGCAAGGGAGAGGGAGGAGGGTTCAAAGAGGATGGAGGTTGTGTGAGGGTGGGGAGGGGGAGAGAGGGAAGAAGGGTGTGGGAGTGGGACCTTGGAAGATTGCACAACAACCATTACAAAAACAAGTGAAGAAGATGAAGAAAATGAAATTTCCTCACTCACTCTCTCACTACTCACTTGCTAGGAAGGGAACTGATGTCTAATGTTGTTGTTGTTGATGTGTGGAGGACTTGGTAGTTGGTAGGGTTTTGTTTGAGGAAAAGATGGATTGGTTGATTTGGGTTGTGTGAGAGATGGTGGCAAGTGAGATTGTGGGATGTTCAAGGAGGTTATTTTAATGGTCATGGAAAGGAGTCAATCAGAATCAGTGCTCTTGAGGAAGGAATGGAGTTTTGATTTCTGGGAACAGGTTGGAATCTGTAATTTGGATGATAATTTTGTGATAAAAAAATTAATCCACAAGTGGATTTTGAAAGATTATTGATTAAAATAATTTGTTTGGATAATAATTTAAATATTCTTTTAGGTTAAAAAATATATTTTCCCTAAAATGTTTATTTTTTTCGTCTTTAGTATTTAAAAGTTTTTTTCTTAACTTTTGGTTCTTCCAAAACATGTATACATATTTTTTTTATACCGTATCAAACATCAAATACTTCAAATTTACATAAAATAGTGTTTAAATGTTTAACATATCATTTAAAATGATGAAAAAAGTTACCACAAAAACTAAAACTAAAAATAAAATATTTTATACGACCAAGAGTTAAGAAAAAAAAAACTTCTAGGAATTAAAAGCGAAAAATATATTTATATTGACAAAGAAAAACAGATATATTTTACGAACCAAAATGCTATTTAAGCTTATTTTTTAAATCTTGAAAATTTTTAGGAGTTTTTTTTTATAAATAATTTATGTTTTTTAATATTCTTAAATATATTTTTAATTCATCAAATTTAATATAAGTTTTTTTTCTCGAATTTAAAAATTGATTTTTAAGTCTTATAATTTTTTAAAAAAATATTTTCAGTAGTAGGTGAATTTTGTGTTATAATATTTGATAGAGTCATTAATAATATTAAATAAGTGGGACTAAAATAAGTTTTTTTTTTCTTCTAAATTACAAAACTAAAAATATTAATTTTAAATTTGAAGAATAATTTTTTGAAAACAAATTGAGGGATAAAAGACAAATTTACCTCATTTGATGTACTAAAAGCAAATTTAAGTATTTTAAAAAATATCAACTTAATATATTAAATATGAACAATTATTTTGTACTCAAAAATACTTTTAGAAATTTCTCTTTAATGAATTTTTTTAGACATTTTTCTTTGGATAAGAAAATTTTTAGTGACTCTTTTCAGCTTTTTATCTATTTCAATTTTTATTTATCATTTATTTATAATATTTTTAATATTCAAAATAAATCATCAATAATTAAAAGTAATATGATGCGCATTATAATTATTTATTATAAATATAAAATATAATTTGTATGTAAAAAATATTTAGACAAATTTTATATGTAATTTATATATTTTTATTTTTTTTTTATAAATTTAGTTATATATAATAGATATTTAGCTTGGGTAATGCATAAATTAAAATATTAGTTACTAATTTATGTTTAAATCATTATATTTCCTATTAATACTTATTTATTAAATTAGTATAGTTTTATTAATAGTTATTTATTACTATGTTATTAATATATAAACTATTTATTTAGAATATGTTTGGATTGGTGGTAGAGAGTGGAATAGAGTGGATAAAATAAATGGAATAAAAATTTCATTGTTTGGTTTTATATATATAGAGATGAGGAGGAATGGAATCAAATATAACACCTCAAGATTTTCACTTAATAAATAAATATTAGCTTTCATAAATGATGTTGTTGATTTTTATAAATGCATTTTATTTATATGAAATATTTGATTTTTATTAAAATATGTTTTATTTAATAATTGAGGAAGGGGAGTAAACCGTAATTAGATTATTTTTACCGAAGGATTAATGTTTAAGAAAGGGGATTATGATAGTTCTTGTAACGACTCACCTAGTCGTCGCACAACAAACAACACTACGCAAAATAAAGTATGCATATAAATAATATATATATATATATATATAATGTAATGATTGTCTAAAATTTTAAATATATATATATATATATATATATATATATATATAAACATAGGTCTAGCTTGGGGCTAAAAAGTCAATATACAAAATACATCATCCTAGCTACACTAAGTAGCCTATCAACAACAAAACATCAACTCCATCTGACAACTACAAACCTGCTACTTTACTCCAACCTATCTCTGCTCTGCTCTCATACACAGTATGATCATTGCAGTCTAATCCACATGGAAACAGACAAGGGTAAGCTAGTGAAAAGAAATCAGCATATAATTCAATTATAAATAGCTTTAACTTCTCAGCACATCATCAAATTCAACAAAGTTGACACGCAACACATAACAGCACACATCTACATCTCAGCTTCACAGCACACTACACATATATAGCTTACATCATTAAGCAAAATCACATCAAACAGCTTATGGGTCGTCACGCATTTCAACTCGGAGATCTCCTACAGCTCAGCCTTACGACCTACAACAACTCAGCCTTACGACCTACAACATAGCTCAGAATCAACATTCAGCACAGCACAACTTAGACATCATACAACTCATCTTGGCATAACAACATTCATCAATCAACACAAATAACATACAACACTGCTAAACTTTACATCAATACAACATTAATCAGCATTAATCATCATTAATCAACATTACCAAAACAAAACACATTCGCGCCCGGCACAATAGTACTTGCGCCCGGCTTAGACCAACCAGAGAGCTCCAAGGCTCTTACGCGCCCGGCGAAAAAGAAGGCAGAGACTCTCAGGAGTCTCATAAGCCCGATGTACCCAACCTGCGCTTGGCACTAGCAAGGCAAAGACCTCCCTAAGGTCTCACGCCCGACATAATACCAATTGCGCCCGGCGCCACCCCTGGCAAAGACTCTCATGGAGTCTCTATGCCCGGCGAGATCAATTCACGCCCGGCACCGCACCAGTAACCCAAAATTGTGAGTCCCTGTCTGATATCATGCCCAGCATGATTTTTCCACACCCAGCGTGAGCCATTCAGGGGCCTCCATTCCCAAACTCGTCCGGCGCAACCAGTCTTGCGCCCAGAGTGCTTGACCAATGGAACTCTCTAATGGTCACGCGCCCGGCGCCAAGAACTACGCCCGGCGCACTATCAAGTAGTAACCCTTAAACTTCAAAAATTTCACTCAAAATCCCCAAATTTTCACCCTTTTTCCCAAAACCCCAAAAATGCAATTTCTTCAAAACAACCCATCAATCTTCTCAAATCAAACAGCACATGAGTTTCTAAACTCATTTCCAACCAATCCATGCGAAAACTAGCTTCCTTTACCTCGGAGAAGAAGAAATCCGAGCTCTGGGGAAGCGGAGGAGAAGGAGAGAAAGGAGAAAGAATTCAGTTTCCGGCTAGCTTCACACGACTTACATTTGAAAGGAATGGATCACCTATGCTATCCGACCCAGCCTTAGAGGAAGAAAACCAAAATCAAGTTAAGAAGCTTGAGAGAATAAGGAAAAGAGAGGAGAAGAGAATGAGAAAAGAGAGGGAGAGGCCACGGGTTTTACAACCTCCCCAACAACAGGAATTTTCGTCCCCGAAAATAGACTTATTTGAGAATAAGAAAGGATACCGCTCTCTGCACTGCTACTCAACTTCCCAAGTAGCTTCACCAGTAGCTGCATCCCACAACACTTTCATCAAGCCAATAGACTTGCCTCTCAACTCCTTCAACTTGAAATCAACCACAATTATAGGCGACTTCTCAAAAGTCAGATTCTCCTTCACCCACACTTCATCCAACTCAACCACATGATGGGGTCATTAACATACTTCCTCAATTGAGATACATGAAACACATCGTGTAGGTTTGAGAGAGATGGTGGCAAAGCCAACCGATAAGCGACCGGACCCACAGGATGGATGATCTGATAGGGACCAACAAACCTAGGTGTCAACTTCTTAGCCCTCAAACCTCTTCCCACACCATAGGTTGGGGTCACCTTCAAAAACACATGTTCCCTTTCAGCAAACTCCAAAGGCTTTCTCCTTTTATCAGCATATGATTTATGCCTACTCTGAACAGTCTTCATTCTCTCCTGAATCAGCTTTACCTTCTCAGTAGTCTATAGGATCAGCTCCGGCCCTACAACCGCTAACTCACCATCTTCATACCAACATAGAGGAGTCCTACACCTCCTACCATACAGGGCTTCAAACGGCACCATCCCAATACTAGCATGAAAGCTATTATTGTACGTGAATTTCACTAATGGTAGGAATTCCTCCTAGCTTCCCAAGTGGTCTAATACACAAGCCCTCAGCAGATCCTCCAAGGACTGAATTGTCCTCTCTGACTGACCATCCGTCTGTGGATGATAAGCATAACTCAACCTCAACTTAGTGCCTAAGGCTTGGTGCAGACTCTGCCAAAATCTGGAAGTGAACCTCAGATCTCTATCTGAAATAATACTAGAAAGCACCCCGTGCAACCGTACTATTTCCCTCACATACAATTGCGTCAGCTTCTCCAAGGACCACTTGATATTGACAGGCAAGAAATGCGCACACTTGGTCAACCTATCAACAATCACCCAGATAGCATCACTATTCCTAGCCGACCTAGGTAATCCCACAATGAAATCCATAGTGATACTATCCCACTTCCACTCTAGAATCTCCATCAGTTGCAACAAACCACCCGACTTCTAGTGCTCCACCTTTGCCTTCTGACAAGTCAGACAAGCCGCCACATATTCAACTATGTCCCTCTTCATACCAGACCACTAGAAAGTCTTCTTGAGATCTTGGTACATCTTAGTAATACCGGGATGTATGCTAAGTCTACTCTTGTGGCCTTCCTCTAGAACCTCTTTCTTCAGCTCAGAATCATGAGGTAGGCAAATTTTGCCCTTAAACCTCAAAATTCTATCTCCGCCCAGCTCAAAACCAACTACCTTCTTGGTACCTAGTAAACCAAGAATCTTCACCAACTCTGCATCTTGCAACTGCTTCAACCCAACTTGCCTCAAGAACTCACTAGTTATGGTAGTCATCCCACAACTAATGTGATTATGAGCTAACTCCAAACAAAGATTCAAATCCCTGAATTCCTCCACCAGCTCCAACTCTTTCATCATCAAACCGGACATGTGATGGATTTCCTACTAAGAGCATCCGCCACTACATTGGCCTTCCTAGGGTGATACATCAGCTGAAAATCATAATCCTTTAGAAATTCCATCCACCGTCTCTATCTCATGTTCAGCTCCTTCTGATCAAACAAGTACTTCAGGCTCTTGTG